GCATCGATCACTCGGCGGTGATCGAGGACTTTGCTTCAGATATTTCTAAAATATCTGTACTGATTTTATGAGAAAGAGGAGAGTTTTAAGATGAAATGGAGATTTATCTTACAGAGAAATATGTGAGGGAATTAATCTGTTTGACCAGAAATTGCACGCTCCATCAGATATCAGCTTGCCCACGGTACACTTGGTCGAAAATAGAACCATCTACCTTGATGATGAACTCAGCGTCGGTGTAGGTTCCTTTCTGACTCTTTTCAGCGTCTCCGTGAGAACTACCAAACCCTCGGGGAGTCGTACGTGGTTTTCAAACAGAAATTATAATCCCAAAACGTCTCTGGATCATCCTGAATGCGTTTGCACCCAAGAACCATGAACTCCTTTCATTCTTCAGAACTTCTCAGACTCTAACAGTATCTTTCAACTCCAGCAACTCTCTAGTTCTTCATCTCCTCAGCCTCTGGAACTATCAGACTCCAGACTCCCGAATTCTCCCGAATTCTCCCGAATTCTCACATGAACTGGGAAGTTGCCACATTTTAAATGGGTCGACTTCCGGTTCATTTGAGAGCTTTTGATTGGTCGATGGACCAGAAATAGAGGTGTGGTTTGTGATGTAAGATGTTATCATAAGTCAAGGATTGTTTTCAACATACAGAAAAGATTATTGCAGACGACCAGACTTCGTGGAGCCTCACGCTGTTGTATCTTCTCAAATAGTAAAACATGACATTTCTTCTCAGTAAACATTTTAGTTGACCGAAACTTCAACTTTCACATACTTACGTTGCTTGGCTCATTTCAGACAGAAAATCAAGAAATGCATATTAACCTGATTTCTTCTTTGAATGAGGAATAAAAATCATTACTTACTGCTTATGTAAAATAAAATGAGTAGTTCTTTCCAACCTGTAAGCATTGAATGGAACTAACACAATTTGATTATCAAACATTTGTAAAACAGTAAATGATTATAGAGAATTGTCTTTTCTGCTTGATTAATTCAAGAAAGAAAGTCACCAGATGGCTCAGACTGTATTCAGATCAATGAAAATAACAGTCTCTGTCCATCTGATAGATTTGAGGTCATCAGGGTCAGATCAGGGTCAGATCAGGTTCACTACACTGCAGATGCTGCACCAATCTGTCAATCGCATGCTCCATTCTTCCATCACTCGTGAACAAAACCCCAAGATACTTGAACTCCTCCACCTGAGGCAGAACCTCACCCTCTACCTGAAGAGAGCAATCCACCTTTTACCGGTTGAGGACCATGGCCTCAGATTTGGAGGTGCTAATTCTCATCCCAGCCGCTTCACACTCAGCTACGAACAGCTCCAGTAAGAGCTGGAGATCACGGCACGATGACGCCCACAGGACCACATCATCTGCAAAAAGCAGAGATGGAATCCTGAGGCCACCGAGCCAGAATCCCTCCACCCCCTGGCTGCACCGATAAATTCTGCCCATAAAAGTTATGAACAGAATCAGTGACAAGGGACAGCCCTGGCAGAGTCCAACTCCCACCCTGAAGGGGTCTGACTTACTACCAGCAATGTGAACCAAACTCACTGCTTGTATAGGGACCGAACAGCCCGTAACAATAGGCCTCCAATCCCATACTCACAGAGCACCCCCCACTGTGTACTCCGAGGAACATGGTTGAAAGCCTTCTCTAAGTCCACAAAACACATGTAGACTGGATGGGCAAACTCCCATGACCCCTCGAGGACCCTAGTGAGGGTAAAGAGCTGGTCCAGAGTTCCACGACCCACATTGTTCCTCCTGGATCTGAGGTTCGACCAACGATTGGACTCGCTTCTCCAGTACCCCTGAATAGATCTTACCAGGGAGGCTAAGGAGAGTGATGCCCCTGTAATTGGAGCACACTCTACGGTCCCACTTTTTGAAAAGTGGAACCACCACCCCAGTTTGCCACTGCCCCAGATGTCAACGCGATGTTTCAAAGGCGTGTCAACCAATACAGCGCCACAACATACATTTCCTTAAGGAAATCGGGGCAAATCTCATCCACCCCCGGAGCCCTGCCGCCTCGGAGCTTTTTAACTAGCTCTGTGACCTCAGCCACGGTTTTGGACAGACCAACCCTGAAGTCCCCTGACTCCGCTTCCTCCATGGAAGACATGCTGGCGGGATTGGTAAGGTCCGAGAAGTATTCCTTCCACCTCCCAACGACATCACTGGTTGACGTCAACAGCACCCTACTTTCACTGAACAGTGTTAGTAAAGAGCTGCTTTCCTCTCCTCAACTGCCTGATGGTTTGCCAGAATCTCCTTGGAGCCGATTGAGAGTCGTTATCCAAGGCCTCACCGAACTCTTCCCACATCTGAGCTTTTGCCTCAGCAACAGCCAAGGCTGCGGACTGCTTGGCCCTCTGGTACTCCTCAGCTGCCTCTAGAGTCCCACCAGCCAACAAGGACCAATAGGACTCCTTCTTCAGCTTGACAGCCTCCTTAACCTGGGGTGTCCACCACCAAGTTCAAGGATGGCCACCGCGAGAAGCACCGACAACCTTTTGGCTGCTCAAAGCAGCCACTTCAACAATTGAGTTGCGGAACATGGCCCACTCAGACTCAATGTCCCCTGCCTCAGCTGGGATGCGGTAAAAGCTCTCCCTGAGATGTGAGTTGAAGATCTCTCTGATGGGTTCTTCTGCCAGGTGGAACCTTCAAAATTATAGACAGATATTTGCATCCAAGAAAATATGAAATGTACAGAATAGAGCAATTGAGTTCATTGTTACAGGTTAAGATTTACAAAAAATCTGTTCAGAAACATACTATGAAAATGAAATTCCTGTATAATACATCTTTTTTTTTTTTAAGTTTTACAGAGTGGCAATGAAGCTGTGCAGCTGTATGCACCACTCAATAAAGGACATTTCATATTGTGATTTTTTTTTTTTCATGTGAAAAAACTCCCATGAATCTCTTCATCATCTTCATCAGACATTATCTGGACTGTAACAAGCACTGCATTCTCTAAATGTTAGCTTCCCTTTTAGGTACCATAAGTTTGTAGTCTGGGTATTTAAAAAAATCAGACAATGAGAAAAAAAAAAACACAAAATTTACAATCATAAATACTAAATGAAATGTCACCCTATCCCATTTACCCAATCACAAAACTGCATAACCACAATTACTATAAAATAAAGAACAGATGATGAAAAAGATAATGAATTACAAAATGTGGAAAATTAATTTGTGAAATTCAAGGACAGAAAAAGAACTATTTATTTAAACCTTTGGGAACCAGAGTGTTGATTGTATAGATCCAATAAATTTCATGTTAAAGAAATAAAGAGTTTACACTACCGCCTCTAAAAAGATATTTCAAGATCTTCGTGAAATATCCTAATGTTGTTTTTCTTCATCCACCCATCCATCCATTGTCTTTATCTGCTTCTTCCTTTTCGGGTCATGAGGGTCACTGGTGTCCATATCCAGCCATCACTGCGTGAGAGGCGGGGGACACCCTGGACAGGTCTCCAGTCTATTACAGGGACACATAGAGACAAACGAGACAAACAACCATTCACTCTCTCACTCACACCTAGGGACAATTTAGGGTGCATTCACACCAGCCCTGTTTAGTCCACTTTAATCGAACTCTAGTCCATTTGCCTAGAAAGTCCAGTTCATTTGGGGAGGTGTGAATGTGCAATTTAACTCTGATACGGACCAAAAAAAGTGAACTGTGGTCCACCTAAATACTTCGATATCGGTTCAGCTGAAGTAAACTCTGGCGTGGTTTGAATGCAGTGTGAATGCAAGCAGACCAGAGACTGCTTGAAAAGCAGGAAGTGGACTACAGCGCAGGGCATTCTGTGTAAATGCAACCAAAACAAACGCACATTTCTCTTACCTCATATGGAGCCGTCAGCTGCCTTGTGTGAAAAACAACATTCTCCATGGTCTTCTGTCTCAACTTCCGCTCATGCTGAGTCCATTGTTGAAAAATGCTTGTTTGGCTTATGAGCCACAGAAAAAAAACGAAATCCTAAAACTGCTAAAATTTGACGCCACTCCATATTTGTTTTTATTTCCAGAAGAAGTGTCTTCTTCAGAGGTTTTTGTGTTGTTTCCTCCTGTAGTTCTTGGTGCAGCGCCACCACAGGCCAGGGGGGGGAACAGGTTGACTTGAGTGACTCAGTGCAGTATGAATGTGAACCGCACCAGCTGAAAATGTAAACAAATGTTCTGAATTTTGGTCCTCAATCGAACCGAATCTACCGGACTATCAGGTGTGAAAACGACCTTAGAGTTACCAATCAGCCTAACGTGCATGTTTTGGTCTGTGGGAGGAAACTGGAGTACCCGCAAAAAACCTGCATGCATGGAGAGAACATGCAAACTCCATCCAGAGTGCCCCACCTCCCTCTCAGCCGGGATTTAATCTGGTGACCTTTTTGCTGAGAGACGGCAGCTCTACCAACTGCTCCACCGTGCTGCCCTGTCTTTCTTTAGTGAAATGTAAATAGATGAACTGTGATTTCTGACAGCACTGCAATGTTTATTATTTATAGCCTTTGATAGGTTACTGTTTATTGGACACATAGTGATATATACTACTGTACAAAATACTATACTAGTATATATTACCAATATTGTTTATAGGGTTTAATTCATATATTTCTCATGTGAATTAATTGAACATTTAAAGTTGTCGACTGTTGTCAGAGTTCATCTGAAGCAGGGCAGTGACCTGAAACATGACCAGTAAAGTTGTGTGTGTGTGTTTTTTTTTTTTTGGGGGGGGGGGGGGGG